CACCCAGGCCAACAGGTACTGAACCTGGGTCAATCTGGCTACACAGCCTGAGCCCTTTCCTTTGTGCTGTGTGACTGGAAAAGTCTCTCCTCCTAGTCTGTGATGTCACCTGACATGGGCTGTGTCTCTGCTTCTGTGAAGTGCTGCACTGGGCATTGTGGTGAGGAAGTCCCGGCTGTGACGGTCTCGTCACAGGGACGTGGTGTGTGCAGGAGTTACTTCTAAGATCTGACGCTGGTCTTCTGTGTCCACAGCTGGGCAAGTCTGTGGTGGCCAAAGTGAAAATCCCAGAAGGCACCATCCTGACCCTGGACATGCTCACCGTGAAGGTGGGCGAGCCCAAAGGCTATCCTCCTGAAGACATCTTCAGCCTCGTGGGCAGAAAGGTGCTGGTCACTGTGGAAGAAGATGACACAATCATGGAAGACTCTGTGGAAAATCACAGCAAGAAAATCAAGTCTTAAAATAAAGTGCCTCTCCCTGGCTTCTCAGCCACCATGCTACTACTGTCCAGTGTGTTGGGTACACCTGTCACAGCGGCCACCTGTGTCCAGCCCATCGGAAAAGAAGGACCAATGAGGCCTTTCTACTCTGAGGTGTCCAGCCAGAGAAGGCAGCCCCGAGCAAACATAGCTCCTTTAGGGTTTCTGAGAGGCTCTGTTGTTATCTTAACCCTTCATGTTCCCACCCTACACAGCAACTCCAGGAAGCTCACAAACAGCTGGGTTCCCTCCTCCTTCCCCTTCTGCCCCAGGTTCCCCAGAGAACCAAATAGTGGTCGCTTACATTAGACTCTCCCAAGGCCTTGTGGGCAGAGGCAAACGCTCCTGTCTCTGAGTGAAGGTTGGGAGGGAGAGAGCAGTTCATCTTCCCTTTGGCAAACCCTCAGGGCAGCCTTACTCAGAGGGCAGTGCACGCTACACCATGGTACACTTGGTTGGTGAGGCGACCCTTAGAGAGGAGGTGTGAGCAGGGAGGGACAGTCTGGGTAAGGGGAGGCAGTGTGGGACGTGGAGCTGGCGTGCCGTAAGGGTGAGGGGGGTGCAGAAATTTTCTCTGCCATAATCCCCAGTGTCTTGTCACAGATGACAGATGACAACCCGGGCACAAAGCCTCCACTGTTCGACTTCTTTACGCTGGGTGAACTTTTTATAGAGGTTCGTTGTCACATTGCACTTTGTTCTTTGCTGAATCAGAGCTGGAATTAATCATTTTGTTCTTTTCAAGCGTCTTCTCGTCTACATTTTATTTTTAAAAAATTTGCTTTGTTTGTTTTTTATTTTTCTGAGACAAGATCTGACTCTATATCCCTGCCTGACCCGGCACTTGCTTTGTAGACCAGACTGGACTCGAACTCCGAGATCCGCCTGCCTCTGCCTCCCGAGGGCTGAGATTAAAGGTGTGCGCCATCACACTTGGCCCTCATTTATTTTTCGTGTGTGTGTGTGTGTGTGCACTAATTACAAAGAGTGGCTCATGGGAGTCAGGTCTCCCCTCTACCATATTGATTCCAAGGATCAAACTGAGGCCATCAGGCCTGGCAGCGGTCTCCTTTACCAGCTGACCTGTATTGCTACCCTGTTAGCCACCCCCTCCCATTTTGTGTGTTTGTATGTTTGCAGAGGTCAGAGTCCTGCTTTATCACTGTCCACTTTATCCGGGGCAGCATTAGCTGTGTAAGCATCTAGCAGGCTCCAAAAATCTGTCTCTGCCAGGCAGGGCATTTTGCTTGGGTGCCGAGATCCAAACTCAGGCCCCAGTGTTTAAGCAGCAAGGGCCTTTCTCTAACGAGCCATCTTAAGCCCTTTTCAAGCCCTTTCTCTCTTTTTAAAGGGCTATCTTTATTCTCTGTGTATGTATATGTGTACAATACCAGTGGAAGTCAGAAGAGGGCATCAGGTCCCCTTACTGGAATTAGTTGTGAGCCTCTACACACATGATGGGAACTGAACCCAGGATTTCTCTGCAAGAGCAGAAACTGCCCTTAACCACTGAGACATCTCTTCAGCTGCTTCTTATCAAGGTGGTGTGTGTGTGTGTGTGTGTTGGTGTTTCCAGACAGGGTTCCTCTGTATAGCTTTGGCTGTACTGGAACTCACTGTGTAGGGGGCTGGCTTCAAACTCAGAGATCCACCTGCCTCCGCTTCCTGAGTGCTGGGATTAAAGATGTTACGTGTGTGTGTATTGGCACGTATGTCTGTGAGGGTCTTGGATTCCCTGGAACTGGAGTTACAGACAGTTGTGAGGTGCCATGCGGCTGCTGGGAATTGAACCCGGGTCCTCATAAAGAGCAATAAATGCTTTTAACCTCTGAGTCATCTCTCCAGTGTCGAAAACTAGCTTCGACAAAACTTGACCGTAGGAGTGTGAGGATTAGAATTATCAGGCAAAAGGAACGGAGATGTAGGAGAAATAAGAGAAACAGGACAGCATTGGGAGAGACATTCAGTAAATACTGAATCCACCTCGTTTATTTTTCCATATGCTTGCTTATATGCTTCACTACAAAAGGGGAAGGGGGCAACAGACTTCATTAGCATGACACAAGGAATAGACTTGAATTCTCCTATCTTTGGTCCAGGTGGAGCAGATCTACTTAAACACTCAAAATACTAATTAATCACACCCTAGGCCAGAATCTCTCTTTTGTAGCCACACCTGTTAACGTTAACAGAGCAGAAATAAGCTCAAACTCTCTGACCTTCAGACAAGGTGGAATGGGCTCACATCTGTGTGCCCCAACACTCCAGTTCCCTTTGCAAGTTCTTAATTTTTGTGTTCATACTTATTTAGCCTTATTTTGTTAAGAGGTGTGTGTGTGTGTGTATGCACACGCACAGCTGCCTACAGAAGCAAGGGATGTCAGATCCCAGAGCCGGGGGTATTTGACCTTCTTGTTAGGGTGTGTGTGTGTGTGTGTGCGCGCGCGCGCCTGCCTACAGAGGACAAGGGTGTCAGATCCCCTGGAGCTGGAGTTATAAGCAGCTGTGAGCTGCCTTATAATGGGTGCTGGGTCCCAAACTTAGATCTTCTGCAAGAGCAGTTGGAGCTCGTAACCTTTGAGCCATCACCTCTCCAGGCCCAATCTAACCCTTATTTGCTGCATCAGTACTATTGGAAAGTGTATATTCAAGTCTCTCCTCAGTGCATAGTCAGCCCTGAGAGGCTAATGTGTGAATTAGGACTCCCTTTCTTGGAACCTGGACTAACTTCTGCGGTGCTCTGGTTGGTAGCCGGCCTGGGATCAAGGCACATTCCCAGCCCGCTCACAGTTGGAAGACATACCTAAGTGCTTGCAGGTGGGCTGTGCAGCAGGTGGGCTGTGCCGTGCTGTGGACTGGATCCACTGAGCTGACCTTCACTGGAAAGGGCGGGGGGGGGGGGGGCACTGACCTGGGAAAGCCTCCCAGAAGTTACAGCCAGTTTAAGCCTTGTACACCGAGCAATGACTGAGAGATGAACTGTGTAAGCTTGGGAAATCCCCAGTGTCGGGAAGTGATTTGAGAGGGGCAGCCCATGGGGAAGGGGAGCTTAGCCTTCCAGGTTCTCCAGGGAGGGGTAAACCAAGAATGTTTTTCTTTTCTACATTTATTTAATGTGTATGGCTGTGCCTGTATGTATGTCTGCACCACATGTGTGTCTGGTGCCAACAGGAGCCAGAGGAGTGTTCAGCCTCATGAAACGGGTACAGTTGTGAGCTACCATGTGATTGGTGGAAACTGAACTCGGGCCCTCTCCGAGAGCAGCCAGTTCCCTTAACCACTGAGACATCGCTCTGGCCTCTACGTTTGTGTGTGTGTGTGTGTGTGTGTGTGTGTGTATGTATGGGTGGATGTGCACTCTGTAGCAGTCAGAGGACAAGTTTTAGGAGCTGCTTCTCTCTTTCCACCACATGGGCCCTCCCCAGGGTTGAATTCGGATGCCAGGCTTGACGGCAAGCACCTTGACCTGCTGAATCATCTCACCAGCCTCCCCTGCCTCATCCCACCTAGAAAACTTCTGATCAGAACATGATGGACTCCGGCTTGGTCACTCCCTGTCATAAACACGGTGCTGTCTTGTGCGGACTTTCTCTCACAACACCAAATGGTTCTATCCACTAGCAACACCTGTATGGGGTTACCAGAGGTCAGTGTCACCGACAAAGTAGAATTTGGGGCAGAAGAGATGTAGGCAAAAGAGCCCCTGAATTCCCTTGCAGAATGAGCTGCAGGCAGCGTTCCCGCCCTCCTGTACGGCTAGCTTTACACCCGAAATAACAACACAGAAACTATATTCCTTTAAACACTGCCTGGCCCATTAGCTCTAGCCTCTTACTGGCTCTCACATCTTGACTAACCCATTTCTAATAATCTGTGTGGCTTACCGGGAAGGATTCTAGCCTACGTCCATCTTGAGCTGGAGCTTCATTGCGTCTGTCCTGGAGAGGAGAGGCATGGCGACTGAGCTCACTTCCCTTCTTCCCAGCATTCTGTTCTGTTTACTCCACCCACCTATGGGCTGGCCTATCAAATGGCCCAAGGCAGTTTCTCTATTAACCAATGAAATCAACAGATTGACATATGACCTTCCCACGTCATTCCCTAAAGGCTAGAGACCACCCGAGGCTTTCGTGGTGCTAAAGGGTGGCCGCAAACAAGTTTTGCAGTAATGCTGTGGCTGGAGATAGCCGAGAGTTGAGTTTAGGGGCCATCGGGATGACTCAGAGGTTGATGGTTGTCATCATCCTGATACCCTGAGTTCAATCCTCAGAACCACATGGTGGAAGGAAACCCTTTTCCACCAGTTATCCCCTGACATCCACATGTGTACCATGGGACTGAAGGCCCCTCTGCCCCCTCAAACTGAATGTTAAAAAGAACTTGGTTATCCTCATGAATGGTGAGCTCCCCATCACTGGGTGAATAGAAAACTATGAAGGGGTGGCAAGTGAATGAGATGATAGCCAGGCCTCTATGGTAGGCACTTGACTCCCAATAAAGAACACAGTTATACGGGAGAGCATTCGTATTTTATTATACAATGCATATTATTAGAGAACTTGTCATTTACAAATATGGTTGTCACTAGCCAACATGGACTGAAACCATGTGCCCAAAGGAAATGGTACACGAGCCTCTCTGGGAGGTAGTGTCCAGGAATCACAGCAGCTGGCCCCAGGTCTGGGAATGCTCAGAAGAGTCAGTCCCTGCCCAGCCCAGTCTCAGGAATCTTATGTCCCGTGGTCTGGCCCTTGAAGCTGGACATTTGAGACAGGTGTCTGTCCTCCATTTCCCTCAGGGTGGCCTGGACTAAGCCTTTTTCCTACAAAACAAACACCCGCTGGGGTCAGAGTGTAGCTCCGCGGGCACACACCTGGGATGCGCACGGCCACTCTGGTTCTAACCCACGCACCATGGGAAAACAATTTGTGGTTTACCTTTGAGGTAAATCCTACAAAACCAAGAGCATCAAGACAGATGCCTTCTACCTTCAAGAACATGGATCCCAAGAAAACTGCTCTGAGAGTATTAGGGCAGCCCCCGCGGCTGCCATCCAGCTGCTGAGTATCCATGGCTCCGCACTGTGAAGAGGCACAGGGGAGAATCTGTTGGAGATGTTGACAGATCCTAACCAGATACAAAGGAGTTATTAAGGCAATTCCACTAGCTTTGGCTCCCTTGAGTCTTCTGGCACTGGCCCGCATTTCACAGATGGGGGCCATGAGGAGAAAGTGTCTTGCCGGAGGCCACACAGCTGATGGGAAACTAGGCTTTTGGCTAGTGCAAACCTTGGCCCAGACCAGTCTTTCTGCTTTATACTCAGGACAATCCCACCCCACACTGTGAAGGGTAGGAAACCCATCTCAGAGACCAGCGGACGTAATCTAGAGGCAGATTGGGCCCAAGGAAAGCAGGTGGGAAAGCTGAGGTGGCCTCTGCCAATAGGGAGCTGGGCTGCCGTGTCCACACCACCTGCTGGGAGCACAGACCCTGTCTGCAACCGGTTCCATTATCTTGGGCAGTCAGTCACCTGACTCAAGCGTACCGATTCTGCTGTGTGGACGATGGGCTCATGTCCCACTTTGGAGGGCTGTAAGGATCAAGTGTGCAGTGGACAATTCGCGTGATAAACGCCTGATACGATTGTTAAGAGACGCCTGGCTTGGCCCTGCAGCGGTGTGTGTGGGAAAAGCTCTTCATAGATAAGATGTAACATCAAGGGTACATCTCCCATGTTAGCTATGTCCCCTATGTCCCGTCAAATCCGCCTTGGAGCCATCCTCAGTACTCCCTTCCGCGAGTAGCAGTCAACTGATCGTTCATTGCCTTGAAGGGGACTTTCTGAACCATTTTTGGGAGGAAAGGGATGCAAATATCCTTAGAAAGCAGCTGGAATGACAGGTCCTATATCTGCAAGCCTCATTTGGGGGGGGGGAGGGGCTTCTTGAGGCAGATAAGCCAGAGGAGTGAGACAGGCAAAGAGATGGTTTTCCTATTTATGCTGGGACGCACAACCGTTTAAAGAGGCAAAACTGTGAACTAGCTTCTGCCTGAAGACTGTCTGAACAGACTTTCAGCAGCTGGGAGAGGGGAGGCCGTCAAAGAGCAGGCCAGAAAAGCCGGGACGCTAAGAAGGCCTTCCTGATTTTTTCTTGTACCTATTTGAATTCACCCTTGTTTAAGTGTAGAAGATGAAGATGCGAGAGGAACGGGAGACTAGAAACCCTCTCGGGTTCTCTGGCTCAAGGTGGCCGGGATAAACTGAAATGGCTGGAGAGCAGGTGACTCCCATGGGGTCCTTTAAGGAGATGCAGTGCCTCCGCCGGGAATCTTTCAATGAAAATTACTGTGTGCTTGCTGTGTGCCAGGAGGTTCTAAGCGCTGCATGACAGTGTCCCAGACACAGGCAGCGCCGGGGTTGCGTGGGCAGAGCCTGTAGACCAGCCTAGGAAAGGAAGCACGGTCGCCTAGGGCAACCGGGGGATGCTGATGGCCCCCTCCCAGAGGCGCAGGGCCGGGTAGAGCGGTTCCTGGAAGGTGGCGTGGAAGGTGTGCAAGTGGCTCATGCCACCGCCCACGTCGTAGAAGGCCAGCACGCCGGCTTCGTAGTCCAGGAAGACGCCGATCCTATGGGGGTCGCGGCGGGGCCGTAGGCGGCTTCGCTGGCAATCATGGAAAGCCCAGTACTCGAGGTCGTAGCGCTTCACGCACCACGACTCGCGGTTGCAGCCCAGGCGGGAGGCGGCCGAGGACCCGCGGCGCCGCAGTGACGGGTAGGCCGCGCCCACCCACCAGCCCACGCCCGCCTCCTGCACGTCCACCTCCCAGTAGTGGCGGCCGGCTGCGAAGCCGTCGCGGCCCAGCACCTGACGCAGGGCGTCGAACCGGGGAGCGGGGCTTGGCCCCAGGCGGCCCAGCAGTGCACAGCGGACAGTCAGTCCGTCTGTCGACAGCCGCAGACGAGAGTGCATGGTGTCCGGGTCCAGCGTGGGCGTGCGGACGTCTGCGGAGGGGGCGGGAAAGACGAAGGTCAGAGGGCGGCCACGCCCACCTCGGGCCCTCCGACCCTGCGCGGCGTGGCGAGGGAGGGCCCGGAGGAGGAGCTGTGGGAGGAGCCACAGGGCCACGCCCACTCTTAGCTTTTTCTATCCAGGTACCCGAGACTGTTGGGTAAAAGACAGAGGGAAAGATGAACTTAACACACGCTACGCCCTATTACGACCTGAGTTTGGATCATGGAATGTACTGCTTAAAAAAAAAAAAAAAACAAAAACCAGGCGGTGGTGGCGCACGCCTTTAATCCCAGCACTCGGGAGGCAGAGGCAGGCGGATCTCTGTGAGTTCGAGGCCAGCCTGGTTTACAAGAGCTAGTTCCAGGACAGGAACCAAAAGCTACGGAGAAACCCTGTCTCGAAAATCAAAAAAAAAAAGAGTCAGCCAGGCAGCGCACGTCTTAAATCCCAGCACTCCAGTCAGGCGGATCTCTGTGAGTTCAAGAGAGCCTGGTTTACAGAGCAAGTTCCAGGGCAGGTTCCAAAGCTACGGAGAAACCCGGTCTTAAAAACAACAACAACAACAACAACAACAACAACAACAACAACGTGCGTTCCAGGACAGCCAAGGCTACACAGAGAAACCCTGTCTTGAAAAAACAAAACAAACAAAAATCTTACTGCCGAGGAAGCCCTTAATCCCAACACTCGGGAGGCAAGAGGTGGCAGTTCTGTGAGTTTGAGGTCAACATAGGGAGGTCTCTGTAGCATGTTCCTGGACAGCCAGGGCTACACAAAGAGACCCTGTCTCAGAAACAAAAAAAAGGGATAGAAAAATCCCATAACTATTAGGACTCGGTTGCATGTTCCTTTTATTCTTTAATTTTGAGGCTTATGCTTGGTCCTAATATTGGTATCATACCACGCATACTCTTAGGCAATCTGCCTTTTAAAACCTGCCGGCATATTCTTGAGCCATATCAAACGTGTTTCAGTGGTGATCCTAGTTTGTATTATGGACCCAAGTCCATCACAGTGTGACGAGTGCAGTACAGATATCTGCCAGAATAGGGAGCCAGATGCCATGCACTGGAGCCTCCGGGAGCTGGGAACAGAACCTGGCTTCCCTAAGGAGAGTTGCGAATGGTAACACTGAGCCATCTCTGGTTAGAGTTTCTCTAGGTTAAAGGGTTAGAAATTGGAACAACAGCCATCCTTTTGGCATAATAAATGAGGGATCATGAGAAAGTCTACCCTTTGTTTTGTGTACTTTTTTTAATGCATTTTATTTTTCAAATGTTTCTTTTTCTTCTTTTTTTAAAATATGTAGTTCAGGCTGGCCTCGAACTCGTGATCATCCTGCATTAGCCACCACAGGTAGCCAAACATTTCTTTTTTTTTCTATTTATTTATTTATGTATAATTTTTAATGTATGAATGCTTTGTCTGTCTTTATGTCTGCAGGCCAGAAGAGGGCATCAGATCTCATTACAGATGGTTGTGAGTCACCATATGGGTGCTGGGAATTGAACTCAGGACCTCTGGAAGAGCAGCCAGTGCTCTTAACCACTGAGCCATCACTCCAGCCCCAAACATTTCTTTTAAAAATATGTGTTCGCCGGGCGGTGGTGGCGCACGCCTTTAATCCCAGCACTCGGGAGGCAGAGGCAGGCGGATCTCTGTGAGTTCGAGGCCAGCCTGGTCTACAAGAGCTAGTTCCAGGACAGGCACCAAAGCTACAGAGAAACCCTGTCTCAAAAAACCAAAAAATAAAAAAAATAAAAAAAATAAAAAAAATAAATATGTGTTCAAGGCTGGGTGGTGGTAGCGCATGTCTTTAATCCGAGCGTTTAGGAGGCAGAGGCAGGTGGATCTCTGTGAGTTCAAGGCCAGCCTGGTCTACAAGAGCTAGTTCCAGGACAGGCTCCAAAGCTTGACTCAAAAAACCAAAAAAAGAAAAGAAAAGAAAAAAGAAAGAAAATATGTGCTCAGTGATTTCGTTTTGAGAAATTACTCCTGAAGATATACAGAAAATAAGGCATATTTATCCACTCCTTTACTAATTCAGTAAATTGAGCTGGGCAAGGGGAGAGGCGTCCCTGACCATGAAGGGTGGCCTGGGCCAAGTGACTGGCCAAGAGAGTAAAGCATAGGCCAAAAGGGTAGATAACCAAAATGGCTGGATTGTATGGGGAATTATATACAGGGGGAACAGAAACTCAGCCCTTGGGCTGAAGAAGTTTAGGGGACAGGGTATGCCAGCCACACCCGGTAACAGGGAGGGACTGAGGCATGCTGGGAGAACCTGGTAGCTAGTATCCGCTTTGATATTTTATTTTATTATTTTTATTTTTAAATTTATTTGACTTTATTTTATGTGCATTGGTGTGAAGGTGTCAGATCTCCTGGAGTTACAGACAGTTGTGATCTGCCATATGGGTGCTAAGAATTGAACCCAGGTCCTCTGGAAGAGCAGCCAGTGCTCCTAATTCCTGAGCCATCTCTCCAGCACCCATCCCCCACTTTGATTTTTTAATGGGCACCTCAATTAGCCATTTGTTCCAGATTTTGAGACCTAATACCTACTATATAGCCGAGACTAGTCTAGAACTTGAGATCTTCCTTCCTAAACTTCTGAGTACTGGGATTAAAAACTGTGTGGACACCAGGCCTTGGTGGTTTTTACCTCTAATCCCAGGACTTCGGAGGTAAAGGCAGGGGGATCTTGAGTTCAAGGACAGCCTGATCTGCAAACTAAGTTCCAGGACAGGACAGCAAGGGCTACACAGAGAACCCCTGTCTCGAAAAAACAAAAAACAAACAAAAAAGTGTGGAACCACACCCAGCAAAAATGTTTTGAAAACAAGTTTGCTAAACAGTAAGAATGTGTGTTGGGGTGGGGGCAGGCTCATTTCCTGTCCTTCTTCCACTTTTGCTCCTCACCCAACCTCCTTCCCCCCCACTCCCGGACTTACATTTCAGGAAGAGTGATCTCTCCGGAGAAGGGCTGATTTTCAACAGGGTGCCTGGCTTGGTGCTGGAGGATCCCGAGAGCTGGCAGTTCATGTCTGTAAGGGATTGCAGTTGTGAGATGCCAACATCTGGAGCTCATGCAGGCAGCACAGACAAATACACACCAAAGTCTCCCAAGAATCATGTGCAAACTTAGAAAAAGATACTTTTTGCTCAAGCCCTGAGCCCCTTCTTATCCTGGTTATTTTTTGTCACATTGACTTAAGATAGAGTTATCTGGGAAGAGGGGCCTCAGCTGAGAAAACGCCGCCATCAGATTGGCCGGTAGAGCAGTTTGTAGGCTTTTTTTTTTTTTTTTTTGCGTGTGTCTTCTTCCCTCCCCCCCCCCTTTTTGTTTGTTTTGTTTTGAGATAGGGTTTTTCTGTGTATCCCTGGCTGTCTCAGAACTTGCTAGGTAGAGCAGGATGTCCTCGAACTCACAGCGATCTGTCTGCCTCTGCCACACACACACACACACACACACACACACACACACACACACACCGAGTACTGGCATTGGAGGTCTGTGCCACCATGCCTGGCACTGGAGGACAGTTTTCTGTAATGATTGATGCAGAATCACCCAGTCCACTGTGGGTGATGCTACCCCTGGGCAGACAGACCTATGTGGCATAAGAAAGCAGGCTGGGCAAGAGATGGGGAGCCAGGCAGTAGCAGTGTTCCTCCATGGTCTCTGCATCAGTTCCTGTCTTGAGTTCCTGCCCTGGTTTCCCTCAGTGACGGCCTATTAACTGTAATGTGAAATACACCCTTCCCTCCCCAAGTTGCTTCTCGTCTAGTATTTATCACAGCAATAGAAACCAAAGGAAGATACGCCCGGTTCTCCCCACCTCAGCTCTCCTTACCCCCTCTACGCCATGCCCATTCCTGTCAGCTAAGCCTTTTACTCTCCTGCAGCGTGACCAGCTCCTCTCACTTCACCGTAGGCCTTGGTGTTTGTTTTTCCTTCTGCACATTTTCCCAGGAATGGGGTATCAGTGAGAACAGAGAACACAGGCGGAGCGGATTGTAACCGACCCTGGATGGCAGCCTCCCAAGCAGGAGCTCCATCATACAGATGTGCAAACAAGAAAACCTCTGCACAAGGTGGCAGAATGACTTCAGAGCTGTGTGTCACCCCTGTGTTCCTGTCCTTAGAACTCCAGGGCCTACAGAATGCCACTCCACTTTGCCTCAGGACCTTCCTAGAGAGGCCTCCTCAGAGCTTGCTATGAAAGGTTCCTCATCTCTGTCCCCTCTAACTTTACTTTGCCTCACAACAGTTCCTGTGGCCCCAAACACATGCTGTCTCTTTTCCCCTCAGAGGACTGTGGGAGCCACGGAAACAGCAACACACAACAGGCACACAGCCAATGTGGAGACTGAATTGCCACCACAGCTGAGGGGATCAGTGCCAGGGACTTCCGAGTTCTCCACAGGCTTTGTGGGCACTTCAGGGCTGGACCCCAGATGGGTACTGAGGTTGAGGAGGGGCTCCTGCAGCCGTCTCATGAGGCCCCAGGCCCCAGGCACGTGATGGGGCAGGTCCTAGAAGGAGTGGGGCAGAGGTGAGGTGACAGGGAAGGGAGCGAGCTGGAGGCGGTAGAAAGGCCTCTGGGTGTGTAACAGCTGTGTTAGCCACCTGTGGGGGTGTGACTGGCCCTGGGCAGATGAGGAGGGGTGAGAGCTAGCAAGGTATTGGTGTGAGCAGAACAGGCTGAGGTGGCATCAGTTAAGGAAGGGTTGGAGTGGGGCATGGTAGCACACACCTATAATCTACTCGGGAGACTGAGTCAGGAGGATTGAAAGGCCAAGGCCAACCTGAGCAACTTAGGAGGACTTTCTCTCAAAATAAAGAGAGCTGAGGACGTGCCTCAGTGGCAGAGTGCTTGCTTGGCATGTTCTAGGCCCTAGGTTCCATTCCAAGTAGTGGGAGTGAGGGTAGGGTGGGCACTAAGCCAGGACTCCTAACTGCCCTGCTAGGGCATCATGTGGGAAAGGCATGGCTTAAGTTGTTGGCTACCTCCGACTGTCACGTTGTTGGGACGGAAGTCATCACGAAACAAGTCTCTGGGGAGATCTTCGGGAGAGTCTCTAGATGGGGGAGACCCATTCTAACTGTCGGAAATACTGCTGCATCGGTTGGGGTCCCAGACTGGACAGAAAGGTGACAGTGACCCAAGCTCCAGCACCCGGCTGCAAATGCAGTATCGCCTGCTGCCTCCAGCTCCTGCCACCCTGAGTCCCTCACAGGGCAGGCTGCAGGTACAAGCCAAACCAACCCTTCCTTCCAGAGGCTGAGTGTGTTGGGTCTGTGCTGCTAGACCCTATAGGGAGTAAGGGCTCCAAGTCTGTCATTAGGCAACTCACTTTCCTTCAGGCGAGTGTCCATTGGTGTCTGTAAAGTGTCCCGGATGGCTTCTGTAAACTCCTTAAAGAAGTTCTTGATGGGCTCGAAGGACAGGGGCACAGGGTGGCTCAGCTCCGGGGGGCTCATCTGCTGTCCCATCTCTGACTTAGTGGCTACATATGCCTGTGTAGACGGGCATAGGGTCAGGATGGTTCCAGGGGTTGCAAGCTGAATCTAGCCTCTGCTGTATACCCCATTGTGCCTGGCCACCATGGTCAGGACGAGCTGTACCACAAAGCAGTGCCTTGGGGAGGCTGCTCAGTGACCTGAGATATAAGGCACATAGAGTTGTTGGTTGGTTTCCCTTCACCCTTCCTCCCCTTCTTCCCCTTCATGTCCCACAGGGTCCCGAGCAAGGAGGAATGACCAGGACATTGCCCTAGAGTCCAGGTCACCGTGAGGGTCTGCCTCAGGACTGACCTGGGTTCCATTCTGTTTTATCTTGTTTTCCTGGGACAGAATTTTATGGAGCCTAGGCTGACCTTGAACTCCTGATCCTCCTACCTCTACCTCCAAGACACTGGGATTACAGGCACACTTCACCATTCCTGGCCAGGTCCAGGTTCTGATTCTAGGAGAGTGTGAGCCCTGATGAGTCCTGTGACCCTTAACCCCACATCTCACCTATCAGAAGCCTTGCTGCAGAGCTCCAGTAAACCCCTAAGCTAAGACTCGTGTGTTGGGCTGAATAAGAATGGCCCCATAGGCTCACATATTTGAGTATTTGGTCATAAAGGAGTGGCACTGCTTGAGAGGGATTTGGGGGTGTGACCTTATTGGAGTAGGTGTGGCCTTGTTGGAGGAACTATGTCACTGGGTTTGAACTTTGAGGTTTCAGATGCTCAAGCCAGGCCCAGTGTGTCTTATAGTCTCTTCCTGCTGCCTTCGGGTCCAAGTATAGAACTCTCAGCTACTTCTCCAGTACCACGTCTGCCTGCATGCTGTCATGACAATAGGGACTAAACCTCTGAAACTGTCAGCCAGCCCCAATTAAATGCTTTCTTTTCTAAGAGTTGCCATGGTCAGCCAGGCAGTGGTGGCACACACCTTTAATCCCAGCACTTGGAGGTCAGAGGCAGGTGGATCTCCTGTGAGTTGGAGGCCAGTGGCCATGGTCATAGTGTCTCTTCACACAATAAAACTGATGAAGACCGTTCACAAAGTGCTTGCAGCCTGGGGGCCCTGGGAAGCGGTACTGTTAAGACTATTTTAGTTCAAGATAGATATTAATTATTGTAACAGTATACTTCCTGACCACCTGCGTGCTGGCAGTGACGTCTACACGCTAGCCAGGGAAATCTCTGTGCACTTCCCCAGTGTGTAAAGATCATGTTCGTTGCCATGGTGACCCAGGTGCATGTGAGTAGCCAGTGGCAGCTGTAAGAGCAGGAAGTCCGGCTTTACCTGCAGCAGCTGAACGGGGTTGGGCTCCAGGCTCATGACCCACACCCTGGTGGAGAAATCATCCATGGCCTCAATTTGCTTCCTGCAAGACTCAGCTTGCTCCCTGTACACCTGGAGGGTGAGCTCTGTGTTCTTCTCAATGAACTGTTTGGCCAGTACTTCCTCTTCATCAAGGAGTAATCTGAGTTCGGTGAATTTCTGTGTCAGCCAGGCTTTACTTGAGTCTGCGTAAACCTTAAAGGAAAAAGAAAAGTCGACTGTAGACAATACACTTGCCAACCAGGAAGTATGGAACAGAAAACACCTACAGAGTGAGTCCAGCAAGGCAGCAGTCAACATGTATGCCTGCAGGCCAGAAGAGGGTGCCAGATCTCATTACAGATGGTTGTGAGCCACCAGGTGGTTGCTGGGAATTGAACTCAGGTCCTCTGGAAGAACAGTCAATGAATGCCCTTAACCGCTGAGCCTTCTCTCCTGCCCCTGACAAGTAGTTTTAAGACAGGATTTCTCTGAGTAGCCCTGGGGAACTTGTTCTGTTGACCAGGCTGGTCTCAAACTCATAAAGATCCGCCTGCCCCTGCCTCCCAGGTGCTGAGATTAAAGTGTATGCCACCATGGCCTGGTCTTTTTCTTTTGGAGTTAATTTTTTAAAAATTACAGTATATGCATGTCCGTGTGTGGGTATGTACTCATGAGTAGGAGTACAGGTCAGGGACAAAGACATCAGAGCTCCTGGTACTCGGAACAGACAGAACTCAGGTCATTGGCCACTGAGCCACGTCTCCTGCTGTTTTCAGCTTCTATCTGGTTTTGTTGTTCTTGCTAGGTGGGGTTGTTTGTTTGCAATAGGATGTGTCCCTTGGCTGACCTACTGCTCACTATATACCAGGCTGGCCTTGAACTCACAGCTATCCTCCTGCCTTTGTAACAGGGCCCCAGATCTTAGCACAACTGACTCCATGATGGAATTATCACCCAGGCCGTCAAACTCAGCACGTAGACAGCAGCACCTGACACAATGAGAAGAGAGGCCTGATCTTTCAGAGCCCGTGGAAAGTGTCTAATGAACTCACCTTGTTTTTTAGCTTCTGTGCTTCCGTTTCTGGCTAACTACTCTTGTTAACTGAAGTATGTCAACCCAGAAGATTTTTTTTTGTACATACATGCTCACCCTGAGAAAGGCTTGGGGCTACATGGGGATCCCAAAAACCCAGGGTAGTCACCAGCTAGTCAATAAAGACTTTCTATTGACTTAAACCCATGTCTGAGCAGTCTTCTCTGGTGGACACCCCACACCACCTCAGCCTCTCACATGCAGAGATTACAGGCTGTGCCGCCACACCCAGCCAGAGTTGCTATATGAATAAGTTCTAGAAATAAATAATGGTCATGTTTGCACACAAGGTGAATATTGGTCATGCCCCAGAAAGGACACTTGAAGAGTCAGCATTACCTAGGTATATTTGTCACTATGAAAGGGTATCAGGGCTAAAGAGATCAGAGGACCCGAGTTCGAGTCCCATCACCCACAAGATGGCTCACAAGCCCTGTAACTCCTCTTCCAGCCTCCATGAGCACCAGGCATGCATGTGGTGTGGTGTACAGCCACACATGCAGGCATAACATCATACGTGTAGAATAAAATTTTAAATTAAAAAATGAAAATACCTTCCTATGTTTCCTTATACAATGGAAAAGCAGAAAACACTGCAGTAAACATCTGGAAAAATAAAGTCTAAAAACTAGAGCAACTCCTTCCCTCATCCAAACTGTCTTCAGCCCACACAGCAGAGTGGGTCCCATAAGGACCTGGCTTCCCTGTGACACTGGGTTTTTTGTTTGTTTTTCCAGTACTAGGGATGAGTCTCCAGCCTTGCAGAGACCAGGCCAGCCCTTAGCTACTAAGATGTACCCTATTTTTTTTTTTAAGACAAGGTCACCCTTATGTAGCCCAGGATGGTCTCAAACACAGATATTCTTGCCACTGCCTCCCAAGTGAGAGGATTACAGCCAGTGACATTGTACATGTCCCCATGTGCTGTCTTGACAGGACAGCTATGGTTTGACAAGAAACGGGAAGTGAGTTTCTATGTGTCTCCTACAGAAGGCTTTAAGCCAGCTTGAGCACCCATGGCCTTATTTGTAACATGTACATAACAGGGTCCGTGTACCTGGCGACTGATGTATCCTTAATGAATGACCAGGGGAGGGAAAAAAATATGTTCCTGTCCACAGCCATACCACACTGATGCGACCGACTCAGTGTGATCTCAGAAAGGAGGCAGCTTGGGCCTGGTTGGCACTTGGATAAAAGGAAACATGTCCCAGAGCCCTGAGTGAGGAACATGTGTTAGAGGCAACCGAGCGAATCTGACAGGCCTCAGTAGAGACACCGACGGGATTCATTGTTCCTTCCAGCTGAGCTGAGTTTCAAGCAGTCCCAAAGATCCATTTTGTCACAAAGAATATCTCAAGTAGTGACAATGCACTGTACTGTCTCTGTGGGGGCGGGAGCTACTGAAGGGTCAGCAGAGAAAGTACATGAAGGGACAGGATGCTGAGTGGTGGCAGGAGATACAGGGGTGGGGTAGGCAGAGAAAGAGAGAGAGAAGGGGGAGAAGGGGAAGAGAGGGTGATAAGAGAGAAAGTAGAGAGACAGAGGGAGAGGGGGAAAGAAAGGAGAGAGGGAAAGGAAAGGGCAGAGGGAAGGAAGGGGAGGGAAGGGGATGGGGAGGAGAGGTAGAGAGAGATGGAGGGAGGGAGGCACAGAGAGAGACACAGAGAGAAGGAAGTTGGCTGCCAGTCTGGGTCCCATGGAGTCGAAGGGAAACTGGATGCCCACACCGAACTTTGGAGTTTGGAGCTGGGCTGGGTGGGGCTGGTGGAGTCTGGATGAGAAAAGCCTAAGAAAGACCAGCAAGAAAGAACTTGACCGGCCAGGAAGCCTTGTTCAGGGAGCCCGAGGGACTCAGTGCAGGGGACCCCACCTTCCTTCCGGGAGTGGGGTGGGGCTGTGAGGAGAAGGCAAGAAGCTGCTTCCTGCCTGCTGGGCATGACAGGACAACCCTACTGGGGGCTCTTGTGAGTGGTGTAGTCAGGGTGTAAGATAAGTCCTCCGATCCTTCCCAAGCTGTTTTAGTTAGAGTGGCCATGGCCAGTATAGTGGGCAGAGGAGTGGCTGAGCCCGCCCAGCAGCGTGGTGGAGGTCAGTAGTATGTTCAACGTCAGCAGCAAGGCTACATCCTCATGGCCTCATTTCCAATCTGGCAAAAGTTGGCTCATGTCACCCTGTGTGTTGTGTCCACAGACCCACGTTCTGATTCCATTCCTGTAGTGCTCAAGGACCGTGACCGCACAGAGCTGAGAGCTGAGGACAGTTATTCCAGCCTTTATAGGCGACCAGGTCCGATACCAGCCCCAGACTGTGCCTCAGGTCCCTTTCTGGCCTTTCCTCAGCTCTCTCTGCAGGCTGAGGTTCTCAGACTTCCTTGGGTAAACAGGAAGAGAAACTAGAGGGAAGGCAGGGGGTGAGGGAGCAGCAGGGTGCTTCTCCCAGCAGGGCAATGACCCAGGGGTGGCTCCCATCGAGTCCCTCCCTCCCCTAGGTCCCAGGAGACACCTGCTTGTAGTTCTGGATTCAGCTCATACTGACTGCAGGCAGGCAGGCTGGCTGGCTTACTGTCTGAGCGCCTCTGATGGGTCCTTCGACCTTTCACTGAGCATGCTCTTTTCCTTCAGCTGAAACCACAGAGTGTTTCTGTGCTCCCAGGTGGCCCAGGTCCCTCCTGCTACGTGACCCATGATAAAGTACTTCCCTTCCTAGCTTCTCTTTCCTTCCCTTTTAGGACAGACTCTCCCACAGAGCAGGCTCACCTTGAACTTATAGCTGAGGATACCTTGAATTCTTGAATCGCCTGCCTTTACTCCCCTAGTTCTGGGATTTTGAGCACTCAACACTGCTATGCCTGGTTTTATGGAGGATTGTGAGTTGCTGGAAGTTGACTCTAGTGGTCTTTGTGTACTAGGCAAGCACTAGACCGACTGGTCCGTATCCCCAGCCCAAACGTGTGGCCAACCATACTGAGGCAGACTTGTTCACTTTGCTTTTTGGGTGTTTTGGTTTTTTTGTTTATCGGAGTAATCTCTTTTTATTGTCTTTTAAAGATGCGTATTACTGTTGCCTACATTGGCTTGAATGCCATGGCTCAAGCAATCCTCCTGCTTCAACTTCTCATGTAGCGTGGACTGTAGGCAGCACCATTTTGTCTGGCTTAGACATGCATCTCCTATGGGCCTTTCAGTTCTAACAGACTGCACATTCTAAATCTGCTATTATGTTTGCTTCAACAGGCAACAAGCAGTCTTCATCCACACAGACCCTCTCTCCCACTCTCTCCTACTTTCCCACCCATTTATAAAAGTATCAAAGTATGCGGAGAAGAGGTGGTGCACACCTTTAATCCCAGCACTTGGGAGGCAGAGGCAGGTGGGTTTCTGAGTTGGAGGCCAGCTTGGTCTACAGAGTGAGTTCCAGGACAGCCAGGGCTACACAGAGGAACCCTGTCTCAAAAAACAAGACAAAGCAAAAAGTATCAAAGTATGACACGGTGGCACATGCCTGTACTTCCGGCACTTCGGAGGATGAAACAGGAGAATTGAGGCTCAAGACCAACTGGGCATTTCTATGTATACTTAGAATCCCAGTAATCAGAAAGCTGAGGCAGGAGGATTATCATAAATTCAAGCCTGGTCTACATAGTGAGTTCAAGACCAGCCTAGACTATTTAGAAAGAACCAAACTGGGCACAGTGGTGCATGTCTTTAATCCCAGCCCTTGGGAGGCAGAGGCAGGTAGATCTCTGAGTTCAAGGCTAGCCTGGTCAACAGAGGGAGTTCCAAGACATCCAAGGCTATCCAGAGAAACCCTGTCTTGAAAAGACAAACAAACAAACAAACAAAACAAACAAAAAGAGAATGACTCAGAAAGACTCTTGAGATCCTGAGTCCAATTCCCAGCAACGACATGGTGGCTCACAATCTTCTGTAATGAGATCGGATGGCGTATCATATTATGTACCCATAATAATAAATAAAATCTTAAAGAAGACGACACTTGAAGTTGACCTCTGGCCCCCTGATCACAGGCACACAGATGCACACTCACCTGCATGAACACATGTACACACACACACACACACACACACACACACACACACAGGCTCAAGCAAGACACAGGCTGGTAAAACCCTCTCCCCAAACAACTTCGCTGCCCAAGATGTGGGCGATTCAGAGAGAACGGTGTTGCTGCGTTGCTGATGCTCAGTATTGGCACGAGGAGACATCTAGGGCTTCATCGAAGATGTGGTTACCCCTGCCACATGAACGCCCTGACCCCTGAAGAGCCACGGCGGGGAGCGCCGAGCCTTAGAGGGTGTGGGCTGGAGATTGTTAACCAGGACTTTAATTGTCCCCTGGAATGGAGTGGTGACTGGCTGGGTCACTGGCTTCTATTTCATAGACTTTGGACCATATCTGAACTTTACTGATCTGTTTACAAAGCTCCATGGGTTCGTTTCCACACCAAAGAAAACTCTCCTCAGTTAGGCACAGAGAAGGGAAGATGGGGGCACTTGCCTTGAGCTTTTCCCCAGCGTCTTCCAAGTGGGCTATGTTGTCAGCGTGTTGCCGCTTCTTGGTCGCCAAACACTCTAAACAGTCCTGGAAGAGTTTCTGCGATGGGGGTCAGGAGAGAGAGGGAAGCTGTCATTTTCAAACCCTCATCTCTTGCTGGTTTTCCTTAATCACATTTTTCTTTATCTACAGTGCGGGATCAGGGGACACTGGGACCATAGTGTACATGAGGAGGTCAGGGGACAATCTGCAGAGTTCCTTCTCTCTTTCCACCTCGTGGGTCTCAGGGCTTGAACCCAGGTCGTCAGGCTTGGCAGCAGATACCTATACCTGCTGAGTCATCTCACTGGCCCGCCCATCCATCCCTGAATTCCTTTTCAGCAGAGGTACCTGAGGCTCTGAGAGTGGGTAGCTTGCCCGAGGTCATGTGGCTAGGAGGGTGGTGAGCAGATTCTGGCTCTCTGCTCAAGCCTTTGTACAGGATGCCTCCAGCCTGGGTGTCTCTCTCTTACCTTCCATGTGTCTGTTTTAGAAGTTACTATTCTACTAAATGCCTGCTTTGGGTCTTCTTCCTCCGACGATGGCCCTTCTCCATAAGCCTTCCTTACATAAAGCTGGCCTTCCACTTGACACCTGGGCCTACCTCATAGGAACAGGGGTGGGAGTCTGGACCCTGGATCAACCAGGATTACCAGCTTCCAGAGGAGAGCTGGCCTCGGGCAGGAGTGTGGGCTCTAGAGTAAGACTAAAGCTAGGTCGTGGCCCTGCCTCTGCAGCCGTGGGCCCCACACCCATTTTCTTCACTGCAAACAGGGTCGCTGTGGAGACTGAATGAGATTCTCGTGCCTGGCCATCAACACACACAACAAGCTGTAGCAGCCGTGGTGCATGGCTTTACTGGAAGAGGGAACTGGGGACAGGGAGGGGGTCAGCCTTGGTCTTAGCTTCTCCATGTGTATCTCCTGTGACACCTAAGCCACCTTACTGCCCAAGGTGGCCCAAGAATACCCCAGTCTTCCAGCTTGAACCCTCCACCTCCAACCATAGGAATCTGTCTTAGGACCCCCAGAAAACCTCCAATCCCCTTCAAGGCCATGCCCAGTGGCGCTTCCCTGCCTTGGCTTCCTGCCACAAGTTCCATCTTTTTTATCCGGCTCTCACTGACCACCACCTTGGTCTCCCTACTACGGTATTTACCACAAGGCACTGTTACAGTTCTCCCCCGGACAAGCCAGGCAATGCATCCAGGTAAGAGGAGGATCTGACCTATGACCCGCCTCACTGAACAGGTGTTTTATGAGTGAATGGCTCTGTAAGCTCGTAGAGCTAGGGCATATGTGGATGCACTGACGAGAGGAACCCCGAGACAGACTAAGGAGGGAGACACTTGGGCCACATCTCTGGAAAACAGCCTTGGATGTCCAGGTAGCAGCATCTGGGGATCTATATTACAGTCATTCACAGGCACCAAAAGGAAGGTTCTGGAAGCGGGGACATTTCTTATGAACCCAGAACTCTACGAGCCAGCCTGTGCTCCCATTGGCCTGATTTCAGATTATACTTGTAACAGGTGGTGATGTCAAAGGAGGGCATAAATGACATGTGGCCGGGCAGAGGTCAAAATACGTCTTAGGGATAGAAATAATAAAATCAGCTTTGTGAAGACAGAAGGTTCGGCCTGGCCTGCCTTCCGGTTCTGAAGAGCCAGGCAAGCCTGGTGGGGTCCTGCTCAGCGGTTATCTGCAGAGAAGGCTGTGATAGGCTAGAGGGGAGCAGTGGTGTGTTTGCATAGGGGGAGGAGCAGGATTCAAGGCAGGAAGATGGCCTTACTGAGTTTGCAAAGCAATACAGGCCTACAGGCTCCAGTTGAAAGTGGCCTATTATGAACTCCAGTGTCCAGCGACGTTTCTAGGCTTCATGATGCGCAATCGTGGAGTTTTCTTTTTCTACATCCACAGTTCTAGTCCGGTCTTTTGACATAGTCTTGCTATGTAGCACTGGTTGGCCTAAAATTCTAGTCTCCCTGCCTCAAACTCCCTGATGCCGAGCGAGCGTCCCAGAACCCTTGTCTGTGTTCACTAAACCTCAGGTTTTCTTTAAGCCGGTGGCAGCGTCGGGCAGCTGCCCTAGCAGAAGCAGTAAAGGACATCTGAGGATCAGCCTGAGCCTCCCAGTACCCTCAACAAGTCTTCTAAAACTTCACTGGTGGTTTGGTCTACCTTTGCACGGGGTTCTGCCTCCAAATCTTACGTCTACCACCTAGGGGACCACAGTTTCCAAGTCCTAACGTGATGTGGGAGTGAGACCTGCCCGGCCTGGCGCTCCTTCGTCCGTTATTTCTGTTGTTACTCCTCTGTTCAATCTCCGCCCTCCCAGACCTGCGTGAACACCCCACGCCCCACGTCTCCCCACCTGCACGCTCGCAGCCTCCTCCTGGGCCAGGCCCACCGGGTGGCCGCGGTGGGCACCCAGCACCGGGCACAGCGCGCACACGCAACGGCTGCAGCGGCGACAGAAGAGCTCAGCCGGGCGTTCGCTGTGCTCAGGGCAGCGCCAGCGGCAAGCCCCGTCGGCCTGGACGGGCTCCGGCATGCAGGCTGTCTCACTCGCCATTCGCTGTGGCAACCCCTGTCCCGCAGTGTAGCCGGTGGGACGGCTGCGAGAAACGAAACTTTGCTCGGGGCGGGGTTGGCGACCCAGCACCCAGTGGCGGGCTGGGGCGGAGGGGCGGGGGGGGGCGGTGATGAGCCTTGGTCCCGCCTAGTGCTGTATCCACAGTACAGCACCTTCTCACTCTTCCGCCCTGTGCGGGAGGGGGCTGCCACAGACAGGGAACGCTGGGGCTCGCTCGAACGGATTAACTGGCAGGTGGGCTTCCCCCTTGGTTACGCTGGTCTTGGGGGTTTTGGCAAACTTCCGGAGTAGAGATGCCTGGTAGGTGTGGCCTGCCCGGTGGGGCCCGCATTTCCCACACTCCCACTTGTCCCTTTTCCTGCAGGGCTTCTTTCCTGGGTTCAGCCTTGGGAGTTTGGAACAGATTTCCAGGAAACCGCAATTAGCCCCAGGCTGGAACTCTGAAGATGCTGGGATCCCTCCTCCCCTGGTGGGTGGTGGCCCACCCTTTGTTTGCAGCCTGGGGGATTGGAGTGCAGCTGCTGTTCACGGCCACCCAACCACGTGGGGGTTTTGGTTTAGTTCCCTCCTCCTTCAGGAAGCCTCAATTTTCCAGATCGGTCATCACTCACTATACCTCATTCCGTTCCCTACGTTCTCTTAACCACGACTGAAAACACTAGGGTATCAGGACCTTACTGGCCAGTTTGTCAGCAGGGATATGTGTTGCTAAATTGGTATTTGTAGAACGAATTAACAAAAGAAAATCTCCATGCATTACAATATCGAGCTTGGTGTTTTATTATTATTTTGGTTGAGGCAGGGACTCACACTCTGTCCGGGCTGGACTGAAATTCAATCCTTCTGCCTCAGCCTTCCAAAGGCTGGGATTCCAGTGGGGCAATTATCACCCAGTGTTGATTGTTATAGTCTTCCATTGCACAATTTCTGCATCGATTTTTTTACTTTTATTTATTATTATTATTTTTTTTACAAAGGTACAAGGAATTTAAGAAACATTAAAACAATCATTCAAACGGCTTCAGGCATGGCTTCAATGACAAGCATAGCTCCTTTCTCACTTCCTGTTTCCCTCTAGGGCAGACCCTCAAGTTTTGTTCCAGGAAACAGAATTATTCTAGAGCTAAGGTGGGTACCAGCCGACGGCTCATCTCCAAGCGCTCTCCTCATCCACACCACACAAAGTTCCTGTGTCAACAGAAAGGGAGCTCCCAAGGCGTGAGACAGGGAGGCGAGGGCTGCTTTGCCCCTGGGTGGGCACTGCCTTTGTGGGCACGGTTGCTCCATCAACTCAAGAACACAAAAACATAATCTTAAAAAAAAAAAGATGACTTTAAAAAAATATCTCTCCCCTGCTATGAAATAATTTAAATAATTTATTCTAGGTGTAAAAAAAAACAACAACAAATAAATTTGTTCATAGCCACCAGTGACCTGTTCTTGAATGTGAGGTCTGAGTCTGGGTCCCTTACAGTGGGGTGAGTTTCTCTTGGGGTGGGATGGATGGTGTTGTACAGAGATACCACGATGGGGAGCTCTGGAGACCCCACCCTCAGCCACATACAGGAGGCAGTGGCTTTGGACTGGTGTCTTCACTCTGAGGCTGTCCTGCCTTCTGAACATGGGGTAGGGAGCTTGACAAACTAGTCACAAATGAAAGGACAGAGAGCCCCAATCCAGGAGCTCCAGTTCCTGTCAAATGCCTGGGACTTGGCCTTTTTCTCGGGAGCACAAACACGGCAAGCATAGCTGGATTGTCGTCGTCGTTGTCGGGAATAGAGTCCTGGTCTAGTGATGGATGGATGGATGGATGGATGGATGGAGAACAAACCAAGAAACACCGGACTGTGAGGGGCAAGGCATCATGGGAGGGAGTCTTGAGATTGTCCTACTTTGATTGCCAGCTCAGGTGCAGGAGACCCGCCCAAAGCCTCAGTCCTCACTGTACTGAAGTCACCTGGGCAGCTTGTCCAGAGGGACACACTTCCCACTGAGGAGTCAGCTGCGGTGGGGGTGGGTCTGGTCATCACTATGTCCATCCAGAGGGATGCTAATTCCCACTTGAGCTCCAGGGTGACCCATGTGATGGGGGGAAAACACTGCCTGCCTGTCCAGAGGGGAGTGGGTGTCTGGTAAGCTTGGGGAGTAAGCTCTGTCTCAGATTCTTCTCATGCAACAGCTGGGCTGCTGTACTGACCACCAAGAGAGAAAGAGCCTCAGAACAGGGCGCAGAACACACAAGGGGGAGGCCCAGGCCTGCAGACCAGAGATACTATTTGGTCCCACTTTCTCACCTGGTACAGGCCAACCAGAGCCCTTCCTGGTGGGTGGCCACAGGGCTTGGCCACTTCCAGTGCCACCCCCCCTCCACATCCCCCTCACAGAGGCCTTTTGATAACCTGGGTGGAAGCCTGCGTCTGCCCTCCTGGAGGCTGCAGGCTCTGGAGTCAACAGATATGGTTGGTGTCCCCAGCTATGGGACTATCTACTCTCACCTGACTGGTTCTGGTTGGAAGGATGGGTTTGGCTACCTGCCTGTAGTTTAGAATTGGGCCCAATCTTCACTCATTCCTTTCAGACTGAGTCCCCGCACCAGCCTGAGTTTCTTCATTAAGCACAGGTCACCAACCCACAGGCATGATCAAAATCAAGTATGTGGTGGCAAGTCACAGAGGGGGTGATAGCTCACTGGAACTTTCCCCTTGTTCAGACGGAGAAACCAAGACCAGAGAGAGCAGTACTTAGTAAAGGTCACCAGGGAAGTCCGGACATAGCTGAGGTCAGAAACCAATGGATCCTACTATGGGGACTGAGAACAACACTGTCAGACAGACCCAGGACAGGACCTCAGTCCAGCCCTGCCAGGAAACAGATCTTACGTGTCTCTCTCTGGGCCTCAGAGTTAAGTAAGTCAGATCAGTGGTTTTCAAGCTTCTAAGAGATAATTTAGCAGTCAAAGCATATATTCCAAAGTGGGCTGATGAAGATGGTGGCTATCTGTTAAGAATGAGTGCACCGACCAAAACCACTCCCTACTCTGACCACAGGCAGGTTGACCTGTCTTCCCGATCTTTCTACTTCTGGGAGGTCATAGGTCCTCCCCGACCCTTAAAACCAGAATTCAGCAGAAGGCAGAGTGCAATCGAAACCAGCCGGAGCAGAAACCACAGCGGTGAGAAGGCAACAGGAAAGTGGCACCATGTCCCACTGGGATCTCTTTCAGCGACCAAGAGTTTTCTGGTATAAAATATAGAAATAGTGGTTGTTCGTGGGGACCTATGGTTCGGTTCTGGACCTCCCCACAGAGCCTCTTGGTGTCCCTGAGGGCAAGGATGGCGGGGACCTCTGCTCAGAACTGTCCTAAGCCCATCCGCAGGTTCTTGATCTCCAGTTCCAGCTGCTTGGTCTGGACCTCCCTCTGCATCAACAGCTCCCGGAGCCTCCGGATCTCCTCCTGTTGCCGGTAGAACATGTGCAGTAGCTGGGGAAGCAGAGGGCAAGGTCATCTGGGTGGCCAGGGTGGGCAACAACACCAAAGCTAAGCCGCAACTGACTTTCAACTTGAGAGTGGTTAAATTATCAAGGGACAGTTGCTTGGCTCGAACACAAAAGCCTTGCTCACTTTACCCAATAAATGAAGTTCAAACAGATTTTGTGTGTGTGTGAATGTGTCCCATGTCTCCTTCCAGGGTCCCTCAGGGGTAGAGCAAAGGGTATTTGGGCCTGAGTATGAAAACTTGGGTTTTCACCACCATCGGGCTGTGTAGTTAATATTAACAACTTGGCAGGATCTAGAATGACCTATGGAGTTTGTAGAATGGGCTAAATGAGAGAAGACACACCCTAACTGGGGGTGACATTATCCCATGGGCTGGGGTCCCGAACTGAATAGGAATGAGGAAGTGAGCATTCATCTCTCTCTGCTTCTGACTATGGATGCCATGTGACCGGCTTCCCTGAGCTCCTGCCTTCCTTACCATGCCTTAGATGTGGGGCACTTCCCGAGGGTCTCTGTTGTTCCCCCAAAATGTCTGTGACGTCTCTTAGGGTGGCAGTGTTAGTACCTCCTCTCTCGGTGTGGAAGCTGAGGCTGAAGCTGTTTCCACTGGCATTTTGTCCACAGCGGTAGGGAAATAACTAGTATACCAGCCTGGCATTCAGCAGATGCTTAACATGTACTGGCTCTTAAAAACAGGCCTCAAAATTCCACAGTGCTGGTGCCAGGGCCATAATGGCACCAAGTCCTATCTTCTGCATCTCACAGACTGTTCTGACCACTGTGCACACATCTGTCACCTTGGTAAATGGCTGCTAATCAGAGCCCATGAGGTGACTACATTTTATCAAGAGAGTTACGGTCAAGCCAAGAGGTCAGGTCCAGCAGGCTGCCCTTCTGCCCTCATTTCCCTCCCAGCCCACCACGCTCCCCCACCCTACAGGCCTCTCTCTCCTCCCACCTCATTTTCTGTCTTTGGTGGGGGGCATTCGAAAATATCAGTGCCATTGCTGAGCCAGGACTTCTCCTCCAGCCGCCGCTCTGTGGCCCACTTTGGTGTCTTCTCTCCCAGCAGAGAGCGGGGTGTCCGGTCATCATTGGTGGCCAGCTGTGCCATGGGTTCCAAGAGCCCAGGTGAAACTTGGACCATAGAATTGGAGAAAGGTTTCTTCTCTGGAGGCAGTGGCTGGGGCTCCAGCGGCTCGGAGCCAGGTCGAAGGGACATCATGATGGGCTCTGGAAGGGATGTAAAAGGCTGTGAAGAGGGCTGAGTGGCCATGAGTAGATGGGCATGGGGGGGGGCATAGACACGGCAGGCTTGTACTGTAGACAAGCATGTACCCGTGCCATGGCAATCAGAGAGCAACATGTGTTGCCCATGTGTGGGGAAGGGAAGCCAGCACATGGGCACAGCATAGACATACACTGGAGTGGCATCCAGGTCCCTGAGCTCCTTAAATGAAGCATGTCCTTGCCTGCTCCCTGCTCCCCTTAGCCAGGGTCTTACTC